AATAATAAAGAATTTTCTCGTTTCTCTTGATGTTTCTCTTTCGTTCTTCTCTATATTTGTCAATTGGTTCCAGCCTGCAGAATAATCACTATTCTGTCCGCCGTCAGTTGGTAACACAATTTATTAAAAATAATCAAAATAGTAAACAACAATCCACACATAATACAAGCCAAAGTAGGCCACCACGTCAATGCTCAGATGGACATGCACGTGTGGCTGACGAATCAACAACCAAGTTACGTTCTCAAAAAATTTGCAAAATTCTGAAGTTCACGAGTAGAATCAGGCGTAGAAGTTTTGACCACTTATATTTCATGTCCCATGAAGCCTCTATCAAATGGCCCACAACACAGGTCAAATCACGTTCCAACCATAGTGTGCTATCCCAAAACCCATGCCCTTCTGACCGCCTCAGTAACTGTCGTAATCTCCACTTGAAAAGCCCATTTGAAGCCAATTGGAATGGCAAAGCACCCTCGCACAAAGCCCCTAAAATTTCGGAATACAACTCCATTTCCTCTCCAACCCTGGGCTTCAACATGCCGCTCCATTTGCATTCACTTTTACCTACCCACAGAAAGGATGCTTCCATTGAACTAGTTTAATTCTTGGTGCTTGCCATGGCCAAACTGTATTCTGGAATCTCTTGAGAATATGTAGCCCCGCCTGACAGCTAAATATTGAAAAATTATCCACCAAATTTGCCTCTCGAGCCGTATTGTAGGAAAATAATTGGACCTATGACTAGAAGCTTCGACGTTACTTGTTCTGGGAAGACATCCAATGACATTGAGTTCCCAAGTATTTTCAGGTAAAAAAAATCACCAAAATGCAACAAACGCTGAACGAAAGAAGAAAACGCGTGCACAACACGCATCTAGAAGAAGATTTGAAAGATTTTTAGAGGAATAGCAGTGAGATGGATCGCTAAAGAAACCCTAATGTCTACTACACAACGTTGGATGAGAGACATAAACAAAGGGAAGGAAAACAAGAATAAGAGAATTGCAATGAGTAAGAAACTGTAACAACACAAGAAATAGCATATAAGACTTCTGAAAATAGACCTTAGCCGTTGGATCCTGACAAGATTGATTCTAGCCATCTAGATACAGACCAACCGTAACCATTGAATACAAAAAAAATGTCCAAAATAATTCAAATGGATGGATGATATCAGGCATGTGTGTCACGTGCATTAAATAAAATATGGTATATGCACCCTGAAACAAATAACATCCTGATTGATATGTGCAATGACGAGTGCAATCATGAAATGTTCCGTCATCGTACCACACGTCAGCCACCATTGGTGAGTGAAATAACTTCGGGAATGGCAACATTTAAGACCCTATTGACTCCACAAGTTCGCTAAATAACATAAATCATTAAGCTTGAACTTCTGGGACTATTAGCAATATTTCCCTTCGTCGTCAAAGTAAGATGAAAATACTCAACTTCACTTTTGCTCAGATTCATTTAAACATGCCATTACCCTTATTTTATAAACATTTTTTTCTAGGCTTGTATACTGCAATAGGTCATCATGGCCTATAACATCAAAATGAAATCAGAAAAGCAAAAAATCATTTTTAGGATCGTACAACATAGAACCTGAACTTAAGTCCTGAACCTAAAACAAATTATTAGAATTGAACTTTAGGGTTTTTTTGTTATCAATAAAATGTAGGGTGACCAGTGGCAAGAGCATCGACCGTTATTATGCAAACCTATGTCACTATCAATGAGCACCTTTTTTGGTTAAAAACCATCAGATCATATGAGAACTCAAACCAGGGTCAACGAGCATATGAGGTACGCGAAGATAAAATTGCTAAGTAAATGTATTCTAACTTAATTCCACCACATATTTTACATCATCAAACACCATTATTGAAGCACACGTGAATAAGAATGCAAAGCATGTTAAACATGACTTCACAACCAATGAACGAATAATACATAGCACATTGAATAAAACATGAAAAGGTAGTAGATTCAATTAAAGCTCATCAATCAATTGCTGCCATGTGTCACTAACGGAATGGATTTAATTACTTCATGGCCTCATTAGAAATCTATAAATAGGCATGGTTGGGAACAAAGAAGAGATCTCTCCTAGCTCTTCTTTGAAGCCTGAAATTTAGTGAGTTTAGGAAGGAAAATCCTGATTTGGTAAGAGGAGTTTGTTAATCTCAATTTGGAGGTCAACAATGCTATGGATAGAATGAATGGCCAGAATTCGTAATTTCATTTATGCGAGGTGATGCAAACCCTATATGAAAATCATTAATTATTTTGGGAGTTTTAAGATGCTAATTTTAGGTTTTGAATTTGATCAAGGTTTTGTTTATAGTAGTCTTTCAATTACTATCTTCAATTAATATTTTTGTTGTGAGATTTCCTTATAAAATATGATGGGACATCATTTTCTATTATGAATTTTTTTCATTATTATTATTTTTTATTGAGTTTGTATTAGTGGGTTGGCCCAAGCCTATCACTAGTAGGGTTATATTTTACTATTTATATGATTTTCGCATTGTAATTTAGACAGTTGATGATTGAATAAAAATAATTGTAGTTTGTGGCCAAAGTTTCTTCCTTTTCCCCTATTCTTCTTTCCTTTTTTATGTTGTGTTCTTCTTCTGCTATTCCTGTCTCTAATTTCCTGTTCTCTATTGATTTATTTCTCATTCTACATTAATTATTTTATTTTGTCCTGTATCAAATTTGGTATCAGAGCTAAAAACTTGGAAAATACTTCAATTATAATCTAAAAATTTTTCTATCCTATTCTCGTAAACCCCTGCGCCTCCACCATGTCCATCGTTGTGAATCAGTGATCAGTTCTCCAAAATCGTAGAACACCACAAAAGAAAGAATTTGTTTTGGCAGCAAATTTTTATTTTTTTTTAGTTTTTCTTCATTAGTAAAAAAAGTGAAAAAAGAAAGAAAGTGTTGAACCTCTGAAATTTCTTAATATTATGTTGGGGTTGGTGTTGGGGATGTTATTATCGGAAAAGGAAACAAAATTGTTGGAGATATATGAGTGAAACAACTAAGGACAAAAACTGCATAGTTACTGGATTTTACTTGTTTCGCCTTTAGTGTTATATAATATTTTAAATGGAACACATATTTATCACTTTGAACGTTTGGATATAAGAGTGGTAACGTATAGAAACGAACCTTAATAGGTTAGAAACTAAGGCATGTGAGGCATGCTTATGTGATATGTTTTGGCACCACTCGATTGTGTCTGGGATACTCTAATTATTGGCACTGTCGAATGGGATACTTCTTGGGTAATCATAGGGATATTCGGGAATAGGCCTCCAGTGATCACAAGAGGATGGTCCACTCATCGATGTCGATGTCAAATTGGTCATTTGATTATTGACTATTGATATTGATAATGTCCAGAGCTCTATCCGGTGCATAGTAGGTAGGTCAAAAGCCCAATGAAAGATTTTAAATGAGATTATTTGGAGTCGACTTTGACGAATATCTGAGCATGATACATCTTTAGTATAATGTTTAAAGTAAATGGCATGGGGTCATATACTATTATCACTCATACTCATAACCTGCATGATTCTTGCTTACTGAGCATTGGTTTATGTAATTCTTACATTGTAGGTGAGTATGGAACTTCCTAGGAGACATGACTAGTTGTGGAGCTCTTACGGGATTTCGAAGTTTAATGTACATGGATGATGACCTGTAAGGTTATTTTGGGTGGACTCTAGTTGTATTATATTTTGGGGATCATGTATGACTTTTGAAATGGCATGTAAATACTTTTACATCTTCAGGATAAATATGTTGGACTACGGTTTTATGATCTTTGGTTTCGGATATACTTTTGGGGATGCTTTCATTTTTTTAACACAAACAATAGTGTGGGTGAATTTGGATGTTTAGGTCAAGTCATCAATTGTATTCCTACACTGGTTAGTATATTGTATGAATGGGATGTGACAAGAGTGGTATCAGAGCAAGATTATAATTCTGTAGACTATCCATGCACATGATCTCCGAGTACGAAAGAGCACAGCTAAGCCGGTAAGTTTTATTTTGTTGCATACTTCATGAATGATATTGACCAACTTTTATTATGATTGTTTTGTGAAGAGATATCGCAGTAATGATAAGAA